CCCTTCATATGTCTGGTTTGTTTCCATTCAGCAGACTGTCTAGATGTGCTTTTTATACTGCACAAAGAATCTGTTCAGTTCCTTTTTATCAAGATGTATTGTGCAACAGATATCTTGAGGAATTATTGTTTGTCCTTTCTTATTGTTTCTTTTAATCAAAAATAAGTTACAAGGTTGGTATGTATATTCTTTATTCATGTAGAGGAAAGCAGTTTTTCCAGGCATCTGAAATATCTGAAAATGCTTTGAGTCTTACAGTGACCTATACATACACTATACCTAAGGCACAATAATATTTTGAGCTGAGGATTTCGTTTGGATATTTATGCACAATTTTTTTCCTAAAATATGTTTATGTTCAGCCTGAAGAATGGTGTTCTTTCTGTGATTCCTAGGTGTAATCCTTGAACTATACAGTGCGTAAGTCAATGGACCAGGGATTTAAAAATAAGTCATGGAAGACTTCAAATCGAAAGATGCATCTAGCTGTTCTATATATTGAAACAATTCATTTTTCTTTTATAATTCTGGCTGTATATTTTGTATTCCAAAGCTGATGTTAAGTGGCTTACACTTCCTGCAAGCCCTGGAGAGAAAGAAAAAGGCTTGTAGTAAAGTTTTGAATGAGTGATTGTTATCCTCTGCAGGTGAACCCAGTGCTTTTCTGACACCACCACAGTCTAGAAATGTTCGTGGAAGTGTAATGCAGTCGTGCTCAGTGCGCACATATAAAAAAGATGAGAGTTTTGGTGGGTGGACTGTTCAATGGGTGAAGAAACAGCTGCAGGACCAAGCTCAGAGAGTGGTGATCACTGGCTCAATGTCTTGGGTGAAGATCCCCCCCAAGGGGGCAGTGGTGGGCCTGATACTCTTAATATCTTCGTCAGTGACATTGACAGTGGGGTTGAGTGCACCCTCAGCAAGTTTGGTGATGACACACCAGAGGGATGGGATGCCATTCAGAGAGACAGGCTGAGCAGTGGGCCCGAGTGAGATTCATCAAATGCAAATGAAAGATCATGCACTTGGGTCGATGCAACCCTCATTACCAATACAAACTGGGGGGTGAAAAGATGAAGCACAGCCCTGGACCTGGTGGTACTGGTGGAATGGAAGCTGGAGACGAGCCAGCAGTGTGCCCTCCCAGCCCAGAGCCAACTGTATCCTGGGCTGCATCAAAAGCAGCTCGGCCAGCAGGCTGAGGGAGGGGATCCTGCCTCTCTGCTCTGTGCTGTGAGACCTCACCTGGAGCACTGTGTCCAGATGTGGAGTGCTCAGTACAGGAGAGACGTGGGCCTCTTGGAGAGCGTCCAGAGAATGGCTACGAAGATGCTCCACAGAATGGAACATCTCTCCTATGAGGACAGGCTGAGAGAGCTGGGTTCAGCATGGAGAAGAGAAGCTGTGAGGTGACCTGAGAGCGGCCTGTTGGTGTCTGTCTAACAGTGAGCAACAGGAAAGAAGGGGACAGACCTTTATCAGGGTCTGTGGTGATAGAGCAAGGGGAAATGGTTTCAAGCTCAAAAAGGGCAGATATAAGGAAAAAATCTTCTACAGTGAGGGTGGTGAGGCACTGGAACAGGTTGCCCAGTGATGTGGTTGATGCCTGTCCCTGGAGACTTTCAAGGCAAGGCTGGATCAGGCCCTGAGCATCCTGATGGAGCTGTGGTGTCCCTGTGCATTGCAGGGGAATTGAACTAGCAACTCTAAGGATCCTATGATTCTATAATAAACAGTTCACTCCTTGTGAGATTGCATCATAAATGAATAAGATGGTGTGAGAGCAAGGAAGTATTTTCTGTTTTCTGCTGGGGAAGCTGAGGCTCAGAATTAAACAACTTGCCTAAGAGCAGGAGGGCTGACTTGCCAAGAGCCAGATTCCAGTCTCCTGAGTCAGGGCCTTGTGCCTTATCCACAAGACCAACCTTTCCCTTGTAGCATTTCCTTTCTCTCCACCCTGTTTTGAGGGAAGGAACAGTAGCATTGTTCTATGTCAAACAAATTTAAAGCATAATACAGGAGAACGGCTGGGACAACTTTTGAGTTTATCATTAATTTGGAAGCCATGACTTTTCTTGGAATGGCTTCTGCATTGGAACCCTCCTCAGCAGGAGCAATAACCACAAAAGCTTCAACCACCAAAAGACCTGTCTTTAAATAAGAGGCTTTTGAGATTAAAAAAAAAAAAAAAGAAAAAAAAATTAAAAACAAGTAAAAAAAAATAACAAAACTACTCAACACGTACTTAAAACAATAAAAACTTTTTGAAAGGCATGGGAGATTGGAAATTACTATTCAGGGGAGTGCGTGAGACATGAAATGGTGTGGTCAAGAAAGCAGGACTTCAACTTTGTTCCATAAGTGGTCAAGGTACATATATTTTTTAATTTGTGATTTTTATTCATAGTACATAGTGGTACCAGGAGAGCCTAGTTCTGTAAGTACCTTAATGCCTGCTTGCCTACTTAATCAGGCTGGTGACAAGGGGCTTATCTTTGACATGTCAGATAGCTGGGAAGAGAAAATAAAGACTGAAGTTTGCCTTTGCTGCTGCGTTGCAAAGCAGGCTTCAGCAGACTTGATTGGGCAATGCTTGTGCTAAGCACCACTAAAGGCTGTCATGTTGACAAGTATCCTGTCAGTCACTCTGTTTTCTTTTGCTGTAGGAATTGAGTGGTTTTTTGTTTTGGGGATGTTTTTTTTTTTTTCTTTTTTTTTTTCCCCCCCACTCTGTCCTTTTCTGTTGCTGCCCCATGACATTGAGGGGTTGTTCAGCCTGGAAGAAAAAGGCTGCAAGGAGACGTCATTGCAGCCTTCCAATATTTAAAAGGAGTTTGTAGACACAAGGGTAATCAACTGCTTACACAGGTAGATAGTGATAAGATGAGGGGAAATGGTTTTGAACTAAAGGAAGGGAGATCTAGATGATTAGATGTCAGGGGGAGGGTTTTAACTGAGTGGTGAGGCACTTCAACAGCCTGCCCACAGAGGATGTCAATGCCCTGTCCCTGTTCAAGGCCAGGCTGGATGGGGCTCTGGGCAATCTGATCAAGTACTTGATCTAGTGGCTAAATCAAGTTTGCCTGTGGCAAGGGGGTTGGAATCTGATAAACCTTGAGACGTTCTATGATTCTCTGCCAGATTAGGAAGCTGAATTCCTTCCAGAATTTCTTACAGCAGTCTAGGTGTTAACAGGGCCAGCGTGGCAGCTGATGTCAAGCAAAAAAGGAGGAGCAAGGACTTGTCTTTGGATAAGTGGAGAAAAATGGGATCTTAAACAACTTTAACTGGAAGACAGGAAGTGAAGCACTGGATCAAACTGGTTTAAGAATTCTGGTATCTTGCCTCCGGCTACACAATAGCCAGCTGACAAAAATAAGTGATGCACCTGGCTTCTGTTATGCAATGTTACAAGAGGGGAATTCCGCCCTATTTGCAAAGATCTGCACATGCCCGAAGTTATGACATGTTCTTAAACTCTGTGTCAGTTGCTGACTGGGTTTCTGTGATTGCTAGCACTATCCTGCACTTCTCAAGTTTGCATCACTCACATGGGGATGATCCCAAGCCATAAATTCAGCTTGAGGCAGAGTAAAGCTGCATACAGGGCAGTCACTGGAATAGAGCACCGTATACTTTCATGGTTTTGAATAGGGCTTTTCATTTATTTGGTTTGGTATTGGTCTTTGGCCTTAGAAGGCTTCTCTCTTACTGTACAACTTTTCCCTAGTTTAGGAAAATGAGTATATGACAAAAGAGTTACGTTGGGTTTGTTTTGTCCCAGAAATATGTTCTTTGCTATGCCTCTGCTTGTGTCTACTGCTGCACAGAGGGAAATGGGCAAGAAATTTCCACTCACATTGTTCTTTCTCCAATCACTTTGTTCAGAGATCTCCTGAGCCAAATATATCCTGTATTCCATCGGTGCAAATAAATCTGCCACATGAAGCACTTCTATCATTGGCTTTACTGTTGCTTTATTAAAGCTTCTTTTCACTTTAGAGGAAGAGTATAGATAGAAGTCTTTTGGATGCTACAGAAGTACACCTCACTTAACTTTTTCTCAAAAAAAAACCCAAAACCAACAAACCATAAAGCAACAGCATCACAGACATCGATGTGCGTCGCTAATTCCTCAGTTTCTGAAACGGTCCTAAGGAATACCACTGGGTAGCCGGTTTCTTCAGGCCTGAAGACTTACACATCAGAAGGACTGGGTGCTGATGTTTTAGTCAAACAGATGGTGGTTGTATGCTTGGAATATTGCCTTCCGCACCAGCATACACCGTGCACCTTACAACATTTTCCTTATGAAGAGGGCTTCCGCTGCGAGGCACAGAGCTCCCCAGGAGCCTCTGTCTGGCCCTATCCAGCAGCGCCGCAGCACAGCTGTCAGCCGCGCTTGGGGAAGCAACAAGGTTTGGCCTTCCGGAAAGCCTGCAGCTTACAGTCTGAAATCGAGCGAACCAGGCCGGACGGAAAGAAGGAAAGGAAAGGAAAGCGCGGCCGTGCGGAACCGCCGCCCCAGCCCTCGGATTGCAGCGCTCCTCCGCCGCGCCCGGGCAGAGCCGCCGTCCCGCGCAGGCCCAGGCGCTGCGGGGGCGGGCGGGGGGCGGGCCGCGCGAGGTCGGGAAATTCCCCCCGAGTAGAGCGGCGAGCGGGCGGAGAGGCAGGGCCGCGCCCGTTCGTGTGAGGTGCGGGCCCGGAGGCAGTCCGCGGCGGCAGGGCCCGAGCGGCGGCCGGAGCTGTCGGCATGGCGGGTGAGCGGCGGGGCGGCGACGAGTGGGGCGGGCGGCGGGAGAAGCGCGGCGGTGGGCAGCGCCTCTTGCCGTGCCGCGCGGCGGCCGGCGCCCTTCCTTCCTCCCGCCTGTCGCGGCGTCCTCGTTCGGGGCGCGGGGAAGCGCTAAGCCGGCTGCCGTCCCGTTTGCCGCGAGCTGCTGTTGGCCGCTCTTCTTCCGCCGCGTCCGAGCGAATCCCGCCGGCGGGCGCGGCGCGGGTGGCGGGCGGGCTGAGCGGCAGCTCCGTGCTTTCACCGCGCCGCCCTGCCTTGCTTGGAGCTCCGTGCGGTGCGCCTTGTTCAGGAGGCTTCCGGCCGAGGCCAGCGAAGGAACAGCGCGAGGGTGTTCAGACCGGTGGCAGCTGTGCCTCCCGAAGCCTCGTGTCTCAGGTTCAGTCTGTGCTGTGGGCGTTCAGTAAGTGCTCGGGTGGGTGTGCGGGGCAGAGCCGTCAGGGTGCCGGTCCCAAGGGCTCTGGCTGCCGGGAGGATGTAGGTGCGTAAGGAACAGATGTCATAAATGCAAAGTAACGCGGGGATAAGGGCTCTTATATTGAGTGATTGCATTTAAAACCAAAATCTCTTTTGGGGATTTAAAAGAAGCCATTTTTAGCATTAATTGGTGTTTAGAAGGAGGCTCTCTACCCTCAGCACCAGACTCTGCTCTGCTGCCTTTAGCGCAGTACAAACTTTCACTCCTGTCAAGTGTATGCTTGCTCTACATTTTCTATTTGAGAAGGCTGAACTGAAGTGAGAGCTAGTGCTTTTTTCTCACCTTGAATGTGTTTTCAGTGTAATTAGGAACCAGATAAGGATTTTTTTCAGCAGGGGAAGTTTACAACTTCCTGGTACAGCTAGCTTTTGTCATTGTTTTTTTTTTTTTTTTCTTTTGGCTGTTGTTCTGTAAGGTCATACGATAGTAAAGAGGAAGTTTGTGAGCAGTTTTGTTGCCCTGTTAAAATCTGTGTGTTTCATGGGTTCCAAAGTAGATTACTGCTCTAAAATAAAATAATGAGTGCACTTTGGGTCATATTAGTTTTGAAGGAGATTGTAACAAATGTTCTGCCAGTGTCTCTTTTTCCTGAGCTCCTCCAAGAGGCTGAGCGCAAGTAGGGTGGGAACATGTAGACAGTCGGCTGTTACTGCTCAGAACTGGCTGTTGCTGTGGAGGACGGAAGGTCACCAGTAATACGTAAGGAGATGTGACATCAAAGCTGAAGGGCATCACTTCTTGCTTCTGTGTTTCACTGCTGTCACCTGAGAGAATCAGAGTTTCGGGTGATACTTTCACATCTTCCACAAAGACCCACAGCTGCTTTGCTTTCAAGCTTGGTGATTATTGGAGAGTATGTTCACAGGGTACTTACTACTCCTGGTTGTGCAGGAGAATTGCAAATCACGTAGCCTTCCAGAAACACTGTTTTCTATTTATCTTTGAGCCAAGGAGTAACGCAGGGCGCACTGGACCTGTTGTCCTTCTGGTGGCAGTGTGTTACAGCCATGCTTCTTCCTGGTGGCACAGTCATGCTTAGCCTCAGGTGTCTCATCGTGAAGAGGTCTGAAGTTTAGAGTCTTTTCGTATTACTCTAACAGATTTAACAACCTTCTATGCTTAAATGCAAGCATGAGGTGGCTGTGTTCTTGGTGCTGGCCTTACTTAGTCTCTTTATGTAGTCGAGAGAGTTGGTCTCTTGTATTTCCTTTAAAATTGTTTATCATAGTATTCAGAGCGTGGGGGGAACAAGCAAGTAGGTAATATAGGTAGCTGTGCATTTCTTTGAAAATTAGTGAAGGAGCCTTAGACATGGCTCATACTAGTTTGACAAATGTCTGGAAAGGAGCTGGTTCCCTGTAGCAACTGACAGCTCTCTGTGTGAGTGTAGATTGTGAAACAGTTAAACCACATCACTTCACAAGCACATTGCTCATTTACAGAAATAGGGAACGCCGAACAGACCTCCACTTCTCTTCAGAGTGCTGATAATAGCTTTGGCTCACACTGATACTCGCATGTGTTTCCTCTATGCACAAAATATAATGACAGTGACAACTGTGGTAGAGATGATAGTGTGATGCTTAGAGAGAGTGAGAATCAAGATTGAAATGAATTTTAATGTTTAATCTCTGGAGGCTACCATGTTACTGAGATTTGCTTTCCCACAAACACACCTGCTGTTAAGCAGTGGGTTTGCTCTCTATGGCACTTGTTTCAACCACAGTCCATCACAGTCGTTGAGCATGGAGTTTTAAAATAAAGTGCTCTTAATAGCGAAGAAAAAAAGTCCTCATAAGCAAGCATTAGTAGAGCACGATGGGAAATTGATGGTTAAAGCAGAGAGGATTAAAGACTTGGAGTGATTCTGTTCTCTAGTAATTTCTAACAGAAAGGCTCTACCTGGTTTTGGCAAACACATCATACACGTGGGTGTATGGTGCGTCTGGTTAGCAGCTATGTAAGCATGTGTACCTCCAAAGAAAGATGATTAGTAGGTACTTTGCTACAATTTTGTCATTATAATGTCTAAAATAGATTTTTAATTTAGTAGATGGATATGTGTCGATGCTTGTGGTTCAGTGTTACGTAGGAATGGAGAAGTGAGGTTCTTTTCCCTCCTCAATTACGTGATGGAAATGGGAGGCTGACTGGTACACCGCCATCACTCCTCACTGCTGGCAGAAGTTTCTGTTGCCTTGTCCACTGGATTGTCCTGAAAAGGATAACATAAGTAAATGTGAGTGTGGCAGTTAGAAGGCTGTATGCTGGGGCGCGAGCTTGGCTCTGGGAACTCAGACTTCTGATCTCTTTCTAAAACCAGCTTTACATCAGGTTTTGGCTTTTTTGTTACTATTGTCCACCATCCCACCTTTTGCTGGCATTGCTAATTTTCCAGAAAGAGAAAAGGAACAAAGCTTACCTACAGGGAAGATTAGAAAAGATCTGGAAAATGCCTAGGGAAGAGAACGTACCTGTAAGGAACTGGCCCTTGAGCAGTGTCTGTGCTTGCTCAGTGTGACAGCTCCTTGTTTGTTTTCAGACGCTGATTTGAAATCAGTGGTAGATGATCAGCTGAGATACTGCATTTTGCTAAATTGTTGGAAAAGAACATACAGAGTCTTAAACTGTTGTTCTTTAATGTTTGGCACGAAATGCGGCCTGGAGTTGAAATGCTTTATGCCCTTTTTAAAAAGTGTGCCTTTTGAAGAGGCACATATTGGGGACAGTTTTAACGTCAGAGCAGCATTCATGCTCTGCTATTGCACAGCTGTCTGTGCATTACAGCTGAAACGTGTTCAAATAAGACCAAGCTAACATCTCAGAAATGTGGTTCTCCTTCCATGCTCTACTTTTCTTGATTACTTTGTAATATTTCTCTAATTTGGGTATGAACTGCTGAAGCACCATAAGTCTTCTACAAATCAGCAAATTCCAGTTGTAAAGTTCAAATTTTGTGTTGGCAAATATACTTAAGTTATTGTAGGTGCAACAAACAAGAAGGTTTTTATTACGGAGCTAAGACTGTAATGCTCCTCTTGGGCAAATTCATGTACTATGTACCTTAGGCTGACTAGACCTTGGGCGAAAGGAAGTACAGAATCTTTTACCCTTTTAATGCTTTCAATATATTTAATAACTATTTTGTTTTTTATGTTGAAGTCTGATTGCTGTTTTCACACAGCCTGTTGTGTTTCTGATGTTCACAAGCCTTGCCTGAGTAGGATGCTATTATACAAAGATGACAGAGAGCTCGGTAGATGTTTCCATAAGCTGTGTTCTTCTGATCATGCCAGAGCCGTGATGATTCAACCCCTACAATATTTACTTATCCTCTGCTGTTTGTTTTTCACATGCCATCTCGCTGTTGTCACTATTTGATTGACTCTCCTGTTTGATGTTCTCACTGAGATACATTAAATAGTTACTGTCCGGCAGTCACACTGCTATAAAAGTAGTGATACTCTTGCTAAGGTAATGTCTTTCTAAACCTTTCATTGAAGAGGTTTGTTGTCTACCATTCTTGTCCGTAAGTCAAGTTTCCTTGAAAACATCATGAGACCCAATAGTTTTCAGTAGGTGATCTGGAGAAATACTGCAATTAATAACAGGCCCTGTGGGACGTGGGCAGCTCGAGCTGTAGAGTTCAATACTAGCCATCAGGTATTTTCTGAGCCCACAGTGATGCTATTCAAACCAATAGAACTGTTTTTTTCTTTCTTGACTTGTGTACTTTCTGCTTCAATATAATAGGAACTAAATCAATCAATTCTGAGAAAAGCTCTTTGCTTCCAGAGGGCATTCAAGCAAACATAATGGTACCTGAACCTTGAGGAGACAACTGTATTGTAATTAAGAATATTAACCATTCCCTTGAAATAGTGTTTTCTGTTGTATAAGAGATTATTTCATCAGATATATACCCTAAAAGAATCTAACATTCTAGGTGAGATGGAGGGGAGGGAGTCCTCTGCTAATTACTTAATTAATAATTAATTAATATGGCAATGATAAAAGGAGATTTCATTTTATGTCTGTTAACATCACTTACCCCCATCGTGTGCATGCATGTTTTAAAGAAAGTTCATCATATGAGAAGGCAAATCAAGTGAATGATATCAGTCAAAGAGTCTGGACCTCACAGTTCTCATGGAGCACCTAACCATGTAGCCTGCCTTCTGCTTCTTTTTAAGCTCTAAATTAAAAAGGTTTTGTTTTGTTTTAAGGTATCTCAGAGCCCTACATTGAAATATTTGAACAACCCAGGCAAAGGGGCATGCGGTTCAGATACAAATGTGAAGGAAGATCAGCAGGTAGCATTCCAGGAGAGCACAGTACTGACAACAACAAGACATTCCCATCTATACAGGTAATACTAATTTATCCGTAAGTTACCAGTGCCTGTATTTTCATTGTGCTGTAGCTTTGTGTTATCCTTAGTGTAGTAAATAAAATGGTTTTCATTACATATTCTGTTGTTCTTTCCTTGGCACGCAAATGTAGTTGCAACACAGTGCGGAAGAGTTCTTTGCTCCTAGTTGTTTTGTTCCCATTTACCAGAGAAGAAGGCATAGTGATATGTAGCAAAGTGCCAGTAGAAAAGGAACTCGGTGAATTTGTCTAGGAATCACTCAGTTATTAACTAATTAACTTTCTGCATTTACATTTGTTCTGGTTTCTTAGTTATGTGATTTGGGCTTGTTTTTACTATTTTGATCATAATGTGAATTTTGGGAGAGTTTTGAAGGAAGTTGTCTGCTTACAAATTTCGAAAAGGCCAGTCTAGGTGCTGGATATAACATGGGAAGAGGCACTTTGTACAAGTGAACAAAGTAAGAGACTGACTTGCTGCAGGTGATTTAGTGATAAGGCTCTGCAAAAGAAACTACTGTGAAGTTCAGAAGGGGATACAGAATTTTAAAAGGATCTGAGAAAGGGGAAATGAGCAGCCAGAGCACCTGCAATGAAGACTAGTCGGATGACTGCATTATGGTTAGGTTGGGAAATCCAGAATGAAGGGATTCATACTAATCTTTGATCAAAGTAGGGACAAAGACATGGACAGTACATATCTTGTCTGTCGTTTTCTTTCATATGCAGAACTGAGGAATGTAAGAGATGCTAGACAGGTTGGGTGAAGTAGAAGAGTTTCTGGTTTCCTATTTGATGTTTAGGTTGGCAGTATTTCCTTAATAATGGTCTCCTTCAGTCTGGAGAAGTCTGGATATCTTCAGAGATGAGATTATAATAGAAACTCGCATGTGAATGGAAGGAAATGAGTACCTGCCATCTTGATATATGCTATTACAGTGCAATATTTAAAAGATAAAATGGAGCCAATGTTGGAGTATCTGGAATCACAGAGATAAAAGAATAGGTACAGAAAATGTGAAATCTGAAAAGTGAGAAGTTTTAGACTGAGACATAAAAATTCCTTGAGAAGAGGGAGAGTGGAGAAAGGTAGTATTGGCAGTTGTATGTTGAGCAGCATAGAGAGCCTCTGCTAGATAAAGCAATTGTGCTGCTGAGAAAGCTGCTCTTCCCCTGGAGCCAGAATTCCTAAGGAGGAAGCAAACAAGAAGGACCCCTTTTCAGGGTTATAGCACCTGAGTTGAATCAGGAATGCAGAAAGTAATTCCTTGTTGAATTGGTAAAGTGCTGAAAAAAAACAATCTGGCAAGGTCTGTATGTATGCAAACAGAAATAAATACTTTGACAGAAGTTACTGAGTGGTATGAGCCCTTGATTCCTCTCATCCTTGACTGTGCTGTGTATGTGAAGGTCATCCAGAACCTAAAGGGAAGGTTGAACTCAGATGACTATGCAATCCTGGCTTAGTTTCTTCTTTTCTAAAGATGACTATTGATAACAGAGCTGATGGATACTGATAGTAGGTGATTTCAGGGTGAATTCCTGCCTCCCTGAAGCCTGTATGAGGCTTTGGTGTTGATTTAGCTGCTAGGGGAGTCCCCTCCAGAGATAGCAGTGTCAGTGAGGATGAGAAAAGAGAGGCGAGGATGATACTAAATTTCATGTTTTGGGTGAGGTGGAAAACATTATGGAGGAACTAGAGAACTGAAGTGGCTAAATCAGTCCTCGTGTTCAGGGGACTAGGTATGCAATGAGGGAGAAGTTATGTAATGTTTGAAGAAGCTGAAAGAGCGATGGAAGCTTCATTGAAGGATAAATAGTGTGTATGAATACTGATGGAAGTTAGAAGAGCATAGGTCAAGTCAGAGGTTGAGGTGCTGAGTGGAAAAACGTGATGGATCCATGGAGTATCTTGGAAGAGGTAAGAAAGGGCTGAAGGAAGAAAAACAGTTACAGGATGGAGGAAGTGGAGGTGGAGACCACGCCTCTGCACAACCTGTGCTGGTGCAAATCTTGCGTGTGCTTTCAGGTTGCTATACTTCAAACAATTTAGGCCAAACTGTTTTTTGAGCCTCTCCCACGCAAAGCTTGCTGACTTCACTGGTAGCTGTCAGTATGAAGGAAGACTTGCTCACCTGAGATGTGAGCTGAGTCTGACTTCTTTGAAGGCAACAGTAGGGCTTGAGAATGCAGTGCCCCTCTTCTTAAATGTAAGACCAAATACTCACCTGCAAATTAAGGAGGAAGACTTTGCAGGGGCTTATGCCATGCTCTATTTTACAAGATCCTCACTGACTGCTTCGTGTTCCATTCACAGGAAATATCCCTGAGGCTCTAGAAGCTTCTTCCCAAAAATCTTTGGAGCTAGAACTGCCCTTAAGTAAACATTTGTGTACAGTTGCTGGGTGGAATTTTGCATCTTACACTGTAACACCAGATGTGAAATATGTCTTCTTTTGGTCTTACACCAAAGCTGTTTTACTTTCCAGTAAAGAACTGGAATAGAATGAATGGTCTGAATGGTCTTGGCTTTTCTTTCACAGCTTTTTCTTTTAGTTGTGGTGTTTCTTCCATACGGTATTTTAGGATTAGATATATTTTTTGTTACGTGCTCACACTTCACTAATCCTGATATCTGAATCTAGAAAATCTCTCTTATTCTTCTAGATTCTAAACTATTTTGGAAAAGTCAAAATAAGAACTACATTGGTAACAAAGAATGAACCCTACAAGCCACACCCTCATGATCTAGTTGGAAAAGACTGCAGAGACGGCTACTATGAAGCAGAGTTTGGGCCCGAACGGCGAGTCTTGTCGTGAGTAGTGGTGGTGTTCGGGAATTTGGTGAATTATGCAAGTGATATGCTCGTCTTATCTCTTAAAGCATCTAATTATGATTAAGAGGGCAGTTAGTAAGCTTCAGCAAAGACAACATGCTGATGCATCTTGGAGATGAGTCCAAAGGTTCTTGGAGCTATTTCCTTTAACAGTGTTTCACGTGCTCCTTTTTTTTGTTCTGTTTTTCTCCCACCTCCCTTTTTCTCTTTGTTCATTCTCTGTGTGCCAGTCTCTGTTTTCTTTCTCCCACTTGTTTGCTTCTTTAGTCCTGGGCAGTAGCACTTGAGCTTGACAATCTCTCCTGCACTCAGTGTACAAAAATAATAACTAATAGAATTGTTAATGACAAGACTTGAATTAATGCCTATAAATTACCTAGATTTAGGTAATTCATGTTTCCACAGGAATTGTGTGTGGACTTTCTGGAAACTGGAGGAGAAAGCTTGGAAAGCTTGCACTGAATATCATGTTTAGATGGTGATGATTGTCAGCTGTTTAGAAATGTGTTAGCAAATAGAAACAGCAGCAACAATTGCTAAATATTGCGGGTTTGTTTTTTGTGGTAGTGGTGTCTTTCTTTTTGGTGAAAATACAGATTCTATTCAGCCTTGCTCGGAAAGAAGAATTAAGGCTTTGTATGGAATATATTTCTCAGTGCTGTTCAGAGGGATATTAGGAATATCTAGACTACAGTTGTATGTAGTATATTTCCCTCAAGTCTACTAAGTCTTATGTAATAAAGTGAAAGCAGAGTAAATTGCAACAAATATAGACTGATTATAGCTGTAGAGAGAAGTTTAGAATTGACGAGCTGTTTGTAGTTCATGGCTTGTGTTGTTGATGATTTGGAAGTAGGCTAATTCTTTCTAGTAAACAGCTGAGCTGGGAAGAAAGGAAGGTAAATATTTTAGTGTGTAAGTAGCTTTTACTTAGGACTTTAAGTCTGGTGTGACGCTGTTAATATCAGCAAAATTACTTTGTATTTATGTGGGTTTAGTCACTAGAATACTATTAAAGGAGGGAACTGAAGACACACAGTCTGTCTAATGATAATAATTGCCTGGTGGTGCAATAAACAGTTTTAATAGTGGAGATACTTCTACAACATACAGCTCAGGCTCAAGTGATCATGAATGTATAGTGAACATATTCAGCTGTTATCTGACGTTTGCTGTTACAGATAAAAAAGATTTTACTATTGTTTTGTTGTTGTTGTTGTTCTTAGCATTGTTCTCAACTTTGTCCTAATTGATAAATGGTAGAAAAAACTTAATGCCATTTCCCTATTTATTTTTTTCCACCATAATAGAAAGATAGAACTGTCTCTTCAGATTATTCTAACATTATCTTCATTGGCCTCCCTGCAAAGAGTTCATCTTGTCTATGTGGCCATCATAGATATCTTAAATTGCTAAGAGACCTTTCACCTTCCAGGACCATCCGTTCACTACCATGCCTCGTGTCTTCTCAAATCATGTTTTCTTACACAAGTTCAAACAGTGCTTGCTGTTCTTCCCCATCCTGCTTGCTGTTCTCATCTCCAGGGCTTCTGATCTGAAGCAGTAAAGCCCAATTGCTTAGCACCTTTTCTGGTTATGTATTACATCTACTGGAAGACCCTGATGATTGTTTTTTCTCTTGGCACTTCATTGCACAAGTTTAAGCCCTGAGAGATCCTGAATTTATTAGCCATAAGCTGTAATGCCAAAAGCACTGAGAAGCTTTGCAAAATTTGTATTTATTTCATGTCTATTATATGCATGTATCAAATAATTTTATTTGATGTAATGCTATTTCTATTTCATTTAAGGCATTCATGATTGTTTGAAATAATGGAGTTCATTATTTTTATCAATAGTTTTAGAAATTAGCAAGTTAACAATCTAACAAACCAGTATCCAGGCTACTTCCCCTTTACTACGTAGCTGATATGTAGCTGATACGTAACTTTCCCTTTACTATGTACTAATACTTTCCCTATGTACTGAAATGAAACTGAGCTTCAGTTCGACATGAAATTCAAGATCCTGATGGGAAGATGCTCTTTTTGATTAGTTTCCAGCGTTTGGTACGCTTCTTAATAAATAAATAAAGAAAGAAATAGAAAATCATTGGTTGCCTTAAGATGAAGGAGCAATTCAAGTCATTTTCATTTTTGTGGCTGGTGACTCAGCCTTCACATTCTCTTTGCATCCATGTTAGAGAAAAGCCTCCTACAATACAAGTGAGCAGGAGATGTCCTCTCTTGGTGGTTCTAACTCTTTACTCTTGCTGGGCATCTCAGAAGAACTCCAGATATTTTGTGTAACTGGAATTATCATACCCAGATTTTGGACTGTATTCTACTTACTTAAGTTCCCTGTGTAGTTGTAGTTGAACAAAACCTTCTGTATTGCTTATTGACTGATCTTTGTGCTGCTGCCTGAACTTGATCACGTCCCTCTGTCCCATATATCAAAGTAAAAGTATCAGTGTTGAAGCTCAAATGATTGCCTGCATACTAAGACTTTCACTTCCTAGCTCACATCTCCCTACATGGATGATATCATGGATGATAGATTTAATGTTTGGTCATTTTTTTTAATGTTTTTTTTTTTTGTTTGTCTTTTTTTTCTCTTCCTATTTCTCCCTCTCTTCTTGTTATCTTGCTTGCATCTTGTCAGCAAGTGTTTATGTGAAACCCTGCAGGCTTCCTGAGGTTTTTGATTGTTTCTTCTCTGACCCTGTCCTTGTTTGTCAGTAGTTAAATAGGCACTTGCACTGTTGTGGTTCATGTTTTAGAAAACATTTATAATCCGGAAATTACGGGGCACTTAGAAGTCTGGTTTCTTTGCCCAAGAGGTTTCCTTCACAGTGGTTGGAGGAGGCAGTATGAAGGTTCTTGGTCCTTGCAAAGCTGCGTACAGCTTTTGTGCGGCCAGTTCTGTATCTGTGCTCAGCTGATGTCTGTGACTTAAGGTGAATTGCTGGAGAGTCTGGGCCTTTTATATGGCAGTTTGGGGCTGTAGGATGGAACCAGGTCTTTCTGTGGACTTGAAGTATGCTTCAAACTGAATTAGCAGAGTAAAGTGCATAATCAGGAAAGAACTAAGTTGTGTGTTGTCATCAAGCACTAGAAGAGTAGTATCTACAAAAAGGATTGTGAAGTACAAATCTCCAGTGTCAGTAGTCACATATGAAACCCAAGCAATCTACTGAGCTATGACATGCTGATGTGGTTTGTTTTCATTTTTGGGTCACTGTGTCAAGTTCAGAGGGAAGCTTAAGCATTTTTCCAGGCAGCGAAAGCTCTGGAAGTGGAGCCTTATTGCAGTGAATTTGGGAATCAGTGAACAGAGTGTATAGGGCACAGGCAAAGTGCTTTAGGGGAATTAAACTTGGATAGTCTTTTCAGAGCAGGAAAACGTAGCACTATTCTTGAGAGATGTGGCAGGAAGGTGGATCAAGTTGATTTTTATGTATAACTAAAGTAAAGAACTTCTGTTGTGTTTCGAAGGAAGGAATGCTGCTGGTTCTGGTGAGAGATGGTTAGAGCCTATTGCCATGGTTTGTCTTCTGAGCTTATTGTAACATTGTGAAACATGAATTTTTTTAAAATATTTTTATTTTCTAACTTCCTGTTTTACATCCACTCAGCTTTGATGATGTCATGGTTTTTCCATGTGGGAAACAGTCATCTTGCCTGGGACTCCCCCCACCTTCTGCATTGGGGTGACCTATACTCTTATGCAAATAAAGGAGAGCTGCAGCTCTTCAGAACTTTTCCGTAGCTACATGAGATTTCAGAAAGTGCTTTTATTTGAATCAAAAATCTTAAAAACTGTGTGTAAGATTTACATTCCCTGATAAAAGCAAGAGCACAAGTTCTTAACTAATGCAAACAAGAAGGTTTGCTTTAAATACTTCTCACTTTCGGTTACCTGAGGCTGACTGTATTTTAATTTTTAATCACTGTGGGTTTACTGCAGATTTACCTGTTTTAATACAGAAATATATATTCCTCTTTAGAACTGCATTTTAGTAGTTTTTTTTCAATTCTGGTTTTGCTCTTATTTTAGAAAAATTATATCCTTACTTTGAGACCTGTTAACACCTTTGTCAAAGGAAGCATTTTTTTCATTTCTTAAACCATATGTTATCACAGTATTGCTCAGCAAATGATTTTTCTAGTATTCTACACAATTCTATTACTTGCTGAAATCCTATCATGTGTACTTCAGTTTTCAGAATTTGGGAATTCAATGTGTGAAGAAGAAAGACCTGAAAGAATCAATTTCTTTGCGAATCTCAAAGAAAATCAATCCCTTTAATGGTGAGTAGAACTTATCTGATTGCCTGAAACAAAAGTTCCCTTTGCAAGATTGTTGCTGGTTGGCTGGTTTTGTTTTCTGTCTTGCCTTTGCTTTTGTGGTGGAGCTGTATTTTTCAGTTTTTCATTTCAGTTTTTTTGGAGAAACACTCTTTCCCCCTCTGTGCCTCTTGTAGTCTTTCCTCACTGGCATCACATGATGAATCTGTTTGGAAGGTTGCCGTTTTTCTCCTCCCCCACAGTAGCAATGTAAGTTGGCTGTGTCTTTTTGGCCACGTAGCCTGGACAGTGCCATCATGCAAATTTAAGAGGCTGTAGGATAGCAACAGAAGCTTTCCCTGGAAATGTCTACAAGTATCTCAGAAATCAGATTTCCCTAATTTTGGCATCTATGGAGGAAAACTAAATTAGTGCAGTTCCACAACAGATGTAAATCTGGCTTGCCACAGCCCCACTCCTTCTCTTGTCAAAAGACCAACGCACATGTGACCTCTCAGCCAGCTTCTTCAAGGAGCTGAACCCATAGGAAAACTGCTCCTTCCTTAATTTTGAAGCATGGGACTGATACAGGCAATTGGGGTGTCAGTCAAGTTGTTGCTGCAGAGTTGCTCCACCTACCCCTGGGCTGTAGTTTGACATGATAGCTGATCTGACTTAGCTGTGGGCTGCTCTCGAGAAGAGTCATCCTGCCCTTCCCTCCATCCTTGGTCACGCACTCTTACCACTTCCTTTGCATCAGATAGGGAGGCCTTGTGTTGCCATGGTGAACAAACTCAGCAAGTTGCTCCAGTGGAAAACCAGCCTGCAGGGGGAAAAAAAAAAAAAAAAAAAGCTTTCCTCAGATCAACTTGCTGAACATGGCCTCACAGCCACGTAAATGCTATGTTCAGTGCACAGATTTGTTGCTGAACACTCTACAAGTTGTAGGGTCAACCAAAGTGTGACCAAATTTTCAGCACACAAACACTGCTTAGATGAAAAACTTAAGTTTCCAGGAACTACTAGCTCTTAACTGCTAAACCATCTTACTGATAAGCTGGTTGTTCTAAGTTGATATGGTAAGGTGGAGTCACTGTCCTCAAAAAGCAGTACTGCGTGTAAACACCATGTCAATATTCCAGTTTTTTTCTTTTTTTCTTTTTCTACCAGAAGCTGTCTGGGAAGGAATTATGTTTAAGCATTTCTTACTTGTTGCTCTTTTTTGCTACTGGTCATTCTGTAGAGAAAGGGTTCTTTGACATCTGAATCCACTGCACGGAAGGATTGTGCTATAACAAATAAGAAGAGAATGAAATAATTTTATCTACACCTTTCAATTTCTCCAAGTTCTTGTCAAAATTCATCAACTGGTGGTATATGTATTTTGTACTTCTTGTAGCTACAAGAAAAACTATGTTTTTTGTCAGTAACTGTATCAAAGAGTTTCAAAACTGAAACGTGTTGTGAAAAAAATACATCCCAGACTTTTTGACTTCCTCGTATTGAAGCCAAAGCACACAGCAATGCGATTGCTAAGTAAATGACCTATTGCAAACAGCACCATTATCGCTTACTGACATACTGAGCTTCTACAGATCAAGAAAGGTGATGTTTTTAACACCTAAAAGCCCACAGTTTTTGGCTATTTATTTAAAATAAGTCATTCAGACTAACTCTAAATTCATACAGTTACTTCAAAGTTGTATTGTTTCAGCAGTGACTTTCTTATGAATAATCTGCTGTAATTACATAACTAAAAAAAAATGTGTAGACTCTTCTGTGCTTTTCTGATTTCAAGCACAAATAGTAACTCTGCAAAAAAGGATTTGTAAACATTTATGTGTGGCAAAAGCCTGGAGACGTTTCAGATGCTTTTTTAATGCCTACAGGAGTCATGCTAAATTCATGTAAGACCCTCATTAGAGGCTGAGAACTGGATTTCTAGCAAGCTTCAAAATACATGCCATGCTTTAATCCTGAATTTAAGGAAAAAAAAAACAAAACATGCCGAACTTACTATAGAACCAGAAATGTTTTAAATTATTGTCTTTATTTCAGGACAGCTGTTTGTAGTCAGCCAAGTCCATCAAAACAATTGCCCTAGCTCTAGTAACTCATGCACACAGCAGCATGTTTTTAGATTACTGCAGTCATTCAACACACAGTGTAAACTAAAGTTCAGTGGTTTACTTTGGGTCAGCCTACTCTACCTTGATTTCAGACAAGACAATAAAGAGCTCATTGTTCAGCCTTCTTACCTTGCTTTCTTTTAATCAATAAGTAAAAAATGAATTCATGTTTTTATCTTGATGTTGTGAATTAAAAGAATATGATAAAAATCCTCTTACGTAGGTCTATTTCACCAAAGAAACTTTAGTGATCACATCCTAGCAGCACTGAGTGCAACTCAAATCATTAGGGAATAGACCGTTGCTGTGTTTGACACATAGCTGCAAATCCACTATACATTTTTGAGGCGATTACAACCTGGCAGCACTGGGTCATATCCTGGGCTCCCTTCTGCCAGTAGCCCAGCAGCAGAAGAGACTGCAGCCCTGACGTGGCAGTGGGAGCTCCTGGCGTGGGTGATGCTCAGGGCTGCCTCCTGCTCTTGCAGGCTGTGCACTGCCAAGGGGGTGCTGGCATCCTCAGGCCGTGTAGCTGCCTTACTGCACTTGGTAATGTGTCAGCATGGGCAGAGCTGCCATGGGGTTTGTCTCTAGCAACTGCAGGGCAGTCCCATGCTGAGCTGAGCCCTGAGAGATGTAGGGCAAACGTAAAACAGGATTAGTGACAAGTACTTTTGTGCGTGCTTCGTTGATCAAAACAGGTTTTGGTAGCAGCAGTCACCATAATGTTTGCAGCTTGGTGAGATTGAAACTTATATATATGGGCTTTTCTTTCTTTTCTTAAGGTCAGATAGTATCACTGTATTCTCCAAGATAATATGGGTGGTACTGTATCCATCCTATTTTGTGCATTTATTTATTTGCCTCCAGAATAGTATCCAACTTTCCTATTTAGGGAAGTGTCACAGAGTTAGTTGCGTCCTGGAAGCAGGTTGCAAGTTTGCACTACTCATTTCTTCTATGAACATCAAGTTCTGCAGGATTACTTAGTGTTTTTCAGCTGTGTGGAAAATATGTTAGGCAGGAGTTGAAAACTTCATGGAGTTGAAAACTTCAGGGTGTCTGTGGGTCAGTTGTTTTTGTTTTCTTTTCCATCTTCTGAAACAATCCCAGACCTCCGTACCCATTGAGGATGAAGGCTGGCCCTCCTAACAGACAAAATGTGCCTGCAGCTTACCAGCATATGTATGACTTGCTGTATAGGCTGAAAACTTTACTTGCTGTAAAGGCAGAAGTAATAGCAAAGGGTTAGCTTGTGAGGTTGCTGTCCAAACTTCCTTGTGTAAAGAGACCTTAAAGAGATTCTTCCAGGGAAGGCAAATTGCCACAGGTGCCTGGGGTGGCAAAGGGAGAGTGAATCGAATGCAAATTCTCTAGAGGTGTCGTTCCTCTTCCGCACCGTACAGCGCATGGTTGTAACAGGCAGCAGGAGGAACTTGCTCAGTAAAGATGCATGTTTAAGATAACTTTCTCTGGCATGCTCATCTGTACTGTTAGGGGAACTGATGTATCCTCCAAACTCCTGGATGGGATGGTAGGAGATCTACGTTTGCAGGTGGTGCCTTGTATCTAGCTGGATCTGATGACACTGGAGTCGTTCTGAAATGTATCTGGAAGGCTGTTTGAATCTGAAATCCCCGGTATTAGCTGGCAGCATTTGTCCATTGTTAATGCTTTCAGCATCTTCTGTGCAAATTGCGTGCGTTCACTATGATGCCAGTCAGATGATGTCCCCCTCAAGTTTCTGCTCTCAACTTGGCCTTGTTTGAGAGAGAATTGTTTCTGTACCATTACTGGATCTGTTTGCAATCTGTCTTGGTCACAAAGCAATATCACACGTATTTTTGCCCTCTAAAGAGCTAAACTATTACAGGAATCTCTCATCTGTTATCCCTGAACACACCAGGAAAATTGTCTCCTTCTCTGGAGATGTTCAAGACCTGCCTGGATGCCTACCTGTGCGACCTGCTATAGGTAACCTGCTTTGGCAGGGGGGTTGGACTCGATGATCTCTGGAGGTCCCTTCCAACCCCTACAATTCTGTGATTCTGTGATTCTGTGATTCTGTATGCAGTGGCAGCCTAATGGGAGCTTCTAGGCATGATGATGCTGCAGAGGGCACAGCTTCGAAAGAGCGGAGTTACTCCTCCAGTGGAGCTGGTCCATGTCTGCTTTCTAGGGTGTGTGTTTTCTTTTAGTAGTGGTTGAGTTGTGCTGTATCCTTGTCTTCCGATGCACTGTCTGATGTTCAGCCAGCACAAATTAAAAGCAGAGCTAGTCTTGAGTTAAGAGCTTTTGTGGGTGGATGTGACATGAAGCAGAGACAACAATTGACTTAATTATTACCTTAGTTAATTATCAGTGAGGAAAATACCTAATTATGTTTTTTCAAATTTAAGGGAAAACTACTTGAGCTCTTGCAGAGCAGTAGCCTTTTTCTAGCATGAAAATCCTAGACTTGGCTCAGCTTGAGAAACACAGAGAATTGCCAAGTTCCAGGCAGTCGATTAAGAGAACTTGATGTTTCTGCAAGATTTCTGCTTCTTTGTAATTGCTCTTGCTAATACCCATTTAGCTAGCTTTTAGGCCCTGCCGTGTACCCCAAAACTATTTCAGCCCCGCTTGCCTCCGCAATCTTTCCTTTTGCTGTTTCCCCTTTCTGCCTGCGAGCAGCTGACCCTGCATTCACTTGTGCTCGTCACAGTCTCCATGACACCCCTGCACGCCTCCGTGCCGTGCTGGGCTCCCCACGCTGTCGCACTCACTTCCTGCCCACGCACAGCTCTCCGCAGCTTCCTTGCTGGCCTTGTGAGCGCTGTTCGTAAGACTCCCTGCTCTGACACCACCTGCCTGTGCCAGCCGGGTTCCCCGGGGTCCGCTGTGTGCTGTGGCTTGTGGCACCACCCATCTCATCTGCCAAAGGCGACTCCTAGCAAGGGTTTAAGAGTTTGGAGTGGTTTGAGAAAGTGAAAAGCATCAGACTCTTTTGTAAGGGATGTCTGAGGTGTAGAAATTTACATGTATTGTTCTTAAATTAAAACAAGTGCGTAACTGTCCCCACTGCCAACCAGATTCTCAAGCTGAAAGCACTGGTGAGTGAGAGCAGCCAGCTTTTTAAGAGATGCATAGAAGAGCCACTTAGGCTAAATGTCCTGATCATCCCATCACTGTAGCTTTCCCTTTGGAACGTTTTTCTGTACCTCATACATGCATTTATTGCTTTTTATGCTGAAGTTTGTACATTAGCTTGAAGGACTGCCTCTTCAAATTGTCTAAAAATGATAAGGAAAATCACTAAATAGAGGCACAAAAAATGCTGACTTCTTTTTTCTATACTGTAAACAAAAGTTGCTAAATGTATGTCTTACATTTACATCCAGCAGTCCCCATTTCAATATAAATCTGTTCAAATTTTATTCTCTCTTACGGTGGGCTTTAAAAAAAAAAAAAGAAGAAAAAACCAAAACCAACAGATTCGGGGAAGTAGTGCTTGGATGAAACTTTTGAAACTCAGATGTTTTCATTTCTGTTTTTCTCCTTGGCTTTTTTTATCAAGCCAGGACATTTGTTTTCTCTGTGCTTCTTTCCTCTGTGAAACAAAAAATGCCCCTTACACTAAATCAGCCTGAAAGATGCATGCGGAAAATTTAACCACAGTAGAAGTATGAGATTTTGACTGTTGGTGATCATCTGA